TGTTAACCAAGCTTGTTCTGAAAGCTGATGGCTACAGCAGGAGGATGAGAAACAGAAATTCATTTCTGTCTTCATTGAACCATAACAACTGAGTCATGCAGAATAGGCTCTGGGGTCAGAGCCTGCATCGGAATTGTGAGGAGACAGGGGCTTCCCCACAATGGTTGTGCTCAGGGAAGCTTCTGTGTGGCTTCTTTTGCTCCTTCGCACCCTAGCCCCAGCACTGTCAGTCTTTTCTCATAGCAGCAATGGGACTCTGTGGCCAGCCCTGAAATATGAACTGAGTCATGGTAGAACTTGCTAGCTCAAAGTTAGATCTCCCAACCTGCAGGCATTTCCCCCAATGTTCCACCATTAGAAGAACACCATGAATTAGAGAGACTCCACAAAGAGAAAGACAGAGATGATTGTCTCCAAACTCCAGTTTGTAACATGATTGTGCGATTTAATTTTCCCTGCAGAGTATCACTTGGAAGGTAAGCATCCCAGGTCTACTGTAACAGTCAGCTAGAAACGTTCTGGAAGAAGAAGAAGTCCTGAATCAGTTCAGTCAGCTCTCACCAGGTCATGCTTCAGTAGCAAACATTCTTTAAATTTCAGAGGATCCCAACAGTTGAAGTGTGAAACTCAGGTTTAGCCTGAGTCTTCTCAGTGTGAGTTTCATACCAAGAAGCAATCCTGCCTGGGTGCATTTTATAGCAAAGGGACAAAGAGATGTCAGAACCATGAGAAGGTTCTTCATGCTTCTGCTTGAAAGGTGACAGGTGTGACTTCTACTCTGTGCTTGAGTTCTCAGGGGAAGGTTCTAGGACAAGAGCCTGAGTTCGTTTAGCTGATTTTCAGGAAATGCTAGTAATGAAGTGGGAAGTGAGCCAAGAAAGGACCAGTGGCTGAGACAGATGGGTCATGGAGCTCCAGACCACCCCAGGCTAGTGTGTTGACGGTTCTAAGCTTGCTGATCCTTGCTGGTTCTTGGAGGTCAGCTCTCCAGTGCTTCAGACTGTGTGAACACAGGCAGACTGACCTCATTTCTGATAGACCCTAGGTGAAGTCAGAGACACTATCAGGTGGCCACTTGCCTGATGTCATTGGGGTAATATGGCATGAGATACGAGGGCATGAGATTCTGGACATTTTGTTGGCAAAGCATGTTTTCGAGGATGTGCAATCTTTCCATGGAGATATAGAACACATTTGGAAATGAAGGCACATTTTCTGCAGGTTGTATGAACTCTGAGGTATTAAGTGCTGAGAGCTCTTTAGTGGGTAGAAGAAGTGGACATGCAGATACCGGGGTGGGGTTCATTTGTGCTTTGCGGGATCCCTCACCTCCACAAAGGTACTTCTGCATACTTCCTTCTTCAATGACTAAAATGATTAGATATTGCCAACTGTCCCTTGCAGGGAAATTTAACCTCTAGCACACCAGTGATGCAGACCGTCTGTCCACTGCTAATTCTCAAGGAGTTGTCTGCCCAAAGAAGTCATGGCTTAGTAGGAGAAACAAGACAATGGATACAGGGGCTACAATGGTAGCCACCCAGCAGTGTTGAAGTCTGTCAGATAATTTCACTATGAGAGAGAAATTCTTTGAGAATGGAACCATTTGGCTGTCTTAAGGGCTTAGATGTCCTGAGGAGACTCTAGAGATAATAATGTCTATAGATCTTGAAGGTGATGCTGCATATTCCAGATGATCCCAGGACCCTTGCATGGCTTGAGATGAGAAGGGATGAGAAACTGACAGGTGTGAACATCTGTTCGAAAGTACACAGGTTTTCTTCCTGCTCTAGCTCCAACCCTGACTTGAACCCCTACCAGAAAATCATGTTTGCGGCAAGTCACTTTCTGTGCATTGTAAGAACTTCCTACAAAGCATCTTCTTTCAGGGTCAGTCCTGTTCATCATTCCCAGATGACCAGATGAGTTAACAGCATCCCTGGAGAACCTGTATCCTAGAATTTCATTGCTTGGAGGAGTCCCTCATCTGTCTCCCAACCTCAAGAGTATCTCTGACAAACTATGCATATTAGAAAGTACAACTCCCTCTTTGTTGTGAGTGGGTCACTCTCATCGACATGTTCCAGGTATATACTGTCCCCAGTCCCTTTCTTCCTCATAATCCGGATTCTGGTTACTGTCTGCCTCCCACTCAGACCTGCATGGTGGGAAGCTGGGTGAGTCTATCCTTTAGGGTGGAATCTGAATTCTCTGCTTGGATGATGCCTGACTAATCCATTAACCAGCTGTCTCCTCTGAACATTCCTGAAAGATGACTTTCTTTCCATTCCTAACCTACCCCACTCCCACCTCCTCCACGTTGTATCCTTTCTTCTTACTCATGCTCCACCTGCACCCTTCTGTAGGAAGGTAGCACTCCTTTCCAATAAGAGAAGCATGTATGACAGCTCACAACTGGCCTACTGTTCAAACTGAGGAAAGTTGCCTAGCCTCTCTGGACTTTTTCTTTTTCTCTGAATGGGAATATAGTAGTATCCACTTACAGGCATGGGAAGATTTAAAGAAGTCAGATACCTGGGAAGTATTTCCAACGTGGCTAGCACGTGGAAAGCCTTCCATGACAGCCAGCTAGCATCAATGGTTCTAAGTGATAAGTGTCACCTAAAGAGGACGTAGAGGCTGTGACTAGATGTGGATGTAAAGCTTCTAAGAAGCCTGATGCAGAAAATCCAGTCAGTCCGTCATGCCTCTGCTGAGATTCCAATATCAATCTGTAGTAACAAAATGGCCTCAGTGGGAATTAAGGGCTCAGAAGGGAAGGGCAATATTCTTGCCCAAGAAATATTTATGAAATGATCAAATAAATGCTAATGATGGTGATAATAGTCACTCTGTGTCCCATGTTCTCTTGCAGGCGCTTCTGCACATTTCTGCCAACTGATTACGTTTTTTTTTTGTTTTTGTTTTTTTTTTAACCACAGTTTCATGCATTGTTAATACTATCCGAAATGCTCCTTGTGGAAATGATGTGTTTGGGGTTCAGTATGGCTAAAGCAATTTGCCCAAGGTCACGCAGCTCCTAAGTGTCAGAGGGAGAACCGAATGCATCTTGAGTGGTGCTCAGCAGATGTCACCACATGCACTAATTCAGCTTATCCAGCCATGTCTATTCATAGCTGTGATTAGGACCAAGCTAGGTACATGTCTTTCTCAGATGCAGTACTGTCTGTGAAATTTTGGATTGAGACTGAAGTGGACCACAGTGAGGCCAGACACTCTAGGAAGCAGCTACACATTAAGAGGACTAGTTGGGAGATCTGAAACTTAGGGAACTCTGCAGAGGCTTAACCTGGAGTGGGGGGCAGTCACATCAGCTCATCCGTGAAATGTTCATGATGTCCATATTCTGGGGCAGATTTCCTCAGTTTGGGTATCCCTAGATGGAAACAGAGGCACTGTTCTGGACACAACGCAGATGATTTACATGGATGATGACCAGGCAGATGATTTGAAGTGGCAGGTAGACTCCTCCCACCTTCTGACAAAAGTCTTTCTCTATCTTCTGTAGCATAAGACTAAACCATGTAGCTCACTGCCGTTGCTCCTCTCAGAACCTGAAACAAACACACGGTTTGGAGTACCAGCCGAAGCTATGAGAGCAGTGCTCAGGAGTCCACCCATGTGCGTGTTAGCGAGTATGCTTCGTGGCTTGTTAAACACAGGATGCATGCAGTGTTTACATAAGGAAAGTAGACAGGCTCTGGGTCTTCATGACCTTGGGAATTGCTTGACCAAATGGAGTGATGTTGAATGACCTCTCTCCTCCCTCCCTCCTTCCCTCCCTCCCTCCCTCTTCCTCACTCTTTCTCTCCCTCTTTTCCTTCCCCTCCCTCCATCCCTTCCTTCCCCTCCCTCCCTCTCTTCTTCTCTCTCTTCCTCATTTCTTCCCTTTCTCCTTCCCCCGTTCTCCATCTCTACATTCCTTCCCTCCTTCCATCTCTCTGTATCTATTTTTTATGTATGGATATGGACACTCGTATGCCACAGTGCCCATATGGAGGCTCCTCCTCCTTGTTTGAGGCACAGTCTCTTGTTTGTCACTGTATACACCAGCCCTAGAGCTTCTGGGACCTCTACTGTCTCTACCTCTCATTTTAGCACAGGAACACTAGCTAAGACAGGCACCACTGCACCTAGGTTTACATGGGTGCAGGAGAGCTAATCCCAGCCACATGCACTTGTGTGACAAGCACTATACCCACAGAACCATCACCACCCAGGTCCTTGATGAGATTCTTTCCAGTGAATCTTTTCAGAATGTTTTGTTCCCAAACTCACGTTATCACCCAGAGCATGCATCTCTTTCCAGTCTTTCGGAGGCCCCTTTACCTTTAGAACAAGGAACACTTGAAGGTGCTGGCAGTACTCAGCACACAGTCTGGGAAAAGATGTTCCTATCAGAGGAGGCCATGGAGGTGCTTAGGAGCCAAAGCTGAGTTCCTTGGGCAGATTCCATTGAGTAAATTAAACCATGGAACATTGAGAATGTACATGTAGAGGGAGGCTCAGATGCTGAAATAATCCTGGGCATTGATATGGAGATAAGTCAGAGGTGAACTTCCAATGAGCTTGGCTTTGAGGAGTTAAGTGGTTTATAATGATGCTTGGAAGAAGAATGTTTAGGAAATAAAACCAGGGATGAGCATGCAACAACATGGCTAGAGATTAGGCAACTTTACTGGGCTCCGGAGCTGACTGCCAAACTGTGGGCTAGCCCATGGAAATACACAGGGTCTAGGAAGCAGATAGCTTTGGCTCTTGTTCACAGAGATAACAGGGACATCAAAGGCCTCAAATGGTTCCGATGAGGCCTTCAATTCCTGTAAGTTATGCAATGTACAAACACCTAGCAACCTTGGGGGTTGGAGCCAAATGACAACCATCACTAGGACAGCATGTGACTTCTTTGAGATCAAAACACTGGGTAGGTAAGCTTTAAAATAGCCAGCTTCATGCTGGGGATGGACATTTGAGCTCAACCCAGAACTTGGAAGCTGGTGCACTCCTGCAGCTGAGAGAATGGTCAGGTCAGACATCTGGGTTGGGGCATGGTATGAGTGGACTGCGAACGGCAATGAAAAGGGACGAAGGATTGTACACCTGGAAAAGTGAAGACATGACAAGAAGGAAGGGAGGACGGGAGGGAGCACAGAAGGGAGGGAAGCAAGGTGGATGATGGGGTAGACTATTAAAGATGTGTGAGAACCAATGTTGGCATTTGGCAACATCTGCCTACCATGGCTGAGCAGACCTTGCTTAGAAATGGAGAGGCGTTGTGAGCAAAAGGATGAAAGGTAGCTGCATCGTATGTGCTTAGGAAGTACCTCTGGGTGGTGTGTTATACGCGTAGATCTCTTTGTGCACAGTGAGAATCCATGCATCTCACGGCACGCTTCTCAATTTAGATGTGCCTGTTGAGGCTGAGTCTCTTTACTAATGCTTATTTTTCTATCTGGAGTTTTTCCTCCTTTAATGATTCCTAGATCACATGTCTGTGAGATGCTCAGTGGTGAGTTGGGAAAGCTGGATCATTAACCAGACCATTGTCCATGACTTCCTCATATAACACTTCATGCAGAGGGGAGGTGATGTGTGCTGAGTTGACCCATGGGTTCAACTTCGTAGAAGTTCAGAGGTGAGCATCTTCAGGAATCACTATCAAAGAACTGGTCCAGGTGAAAATCTACATAGCCCAGCTCTGCTGTCTTGTCTGTCCGTCTGTCTGTCTGTCTGTCTGTCTGTCTGTCTGTCTGTCTGTCATGAGATAGCTCTCATTGTACTTGCAAAGACAAGGCAGAACAAGTGATGCTACTGAAATTTTATTTTCAGTTAACCTTGCTGAAGGCACTGCAGGCCAAAGATTGCGGCCTGGGTTAAGAGACTCACTGTTTCTGGTGTGCTGGGAAAGACCAGCTTGCTCAATTTTGATGGTGAAAAATAGTTTTCCTAGCATTGCAAAAATTCGTGAAGTATCTCCTCTGAAGTTGTCTGTGGAACCTTGTAGAATTAGAATGTGCTTCTTTCCCTTCTTACAACACAGTGTGGGTGGGTTGTCACAGAGATCACCAGCCCACCTCACTCCCTCTGCTAACTTCCTCTTCAAGTTACCCTTCCTTTTTGAGATGTGGAAAGAAAATGGCAGGGCATCCCCAGTTCTGCCACATATCTTTACTAGGCTCTTGGCACAGTTTTAGGGGGACATTGTAATTAGGACAACATTCTAATAGTTCATTCTTCTACATACTGGCTTCTAGCTTCAGAAGTCCAAGAAAGTGATATTTTTAAAAAAGATATTGATAAAACAGAAACTACTGGTAGCAGTGGTTCAGGAAACCAAAAAGAACCACATATTTTGAGCAAGAGCTTTCATGTTGCTTTGCATGGAGGTAATACAAATCAAAACCTCCAAGTGTGTTCCCTTCCAGTCATAATGTAGGAGGAAACATCTGGAACTGTCTTCTGCAGTTTTACTCTCATGCCTGCTTTTTAAGGTTGTCCCTTTCACTTCTTGTTTTAAGGAAAATGTACTTAGAGCATTTTACTGTATAATCTTATTTAACTTCCTTCAAGCCTTGGGCATTGTTCTGTGACCACTCTTAAGTTGAGAGGACAGTGCACTAGATGTGCTTCATGCTTGGATTTTTAAACACATTGGAGTCGACACATGGGAATGTGTATAGGAGTTCTGTTTCTTCTGGTTGTTACTTCTCGCGGGGCCACTGGCTTAGTTTTCTCAGTGATTGAACTGGGCTGTTTCTAGTCCTCTTGTTTCATAACTAGCATGGAAAATACTTGTCTTCATTGGTATGAAATTTTATTTTCTTAGAGATAATTCCATGAGCCATATTTTAAAAAAAAGTTACTAGGCTCATGAATGCAATTTAAAATACTCCCTACCAATTTCCAGCAAGAGCAAGCCCAGATAGAATAGCTACCCATGATGTCACATGTGCCTCTCTGCATGAAGCTACACTCCTAAATGCTTTAAGTCACTCTCCTTTGATTTACTGTCATGCTAGGGACCTGAAAGTAAAGTTGGTTAGATATACTTAAGCAAACATTTTAAATTTGCTAAAAATTTAAGTAATGCTTACTATTTTTTAGTAAAAAGTACTATTTCATATATATATATATATGTATATATATATGTATATATCACATATATGTATATATACATATATATCATATATATACACACATATATATGTAAACAAACATATGTATATAAACAAACCTCCATACTGGGCAGTGTTTCCACTTTCTACACAAGATGGAGACTGCCCGTTGTGGCCTAATTTGTCTAAGTAAATGATCAGTTAGGGTGCAAGTTCATAGCCAGCTTCACTCTGAACTTGAGTCTCGACCCTTGACCCTTGCTGTTTGCAGTACTGAAAAAGACTGGCAGAAAGAACTCATGGATGCATCTCTCCCAGGAGCTCTCATGCCCCCATGGGCTGATTGCCTGGATTGATGTTAGTTATGGAAGAAAACAGACAGAGGAGTGTTGGGATGACTAGAGTGGAGATGTGGGAAGAGAGAGACCAAGGCTCTATGTGGCTGCAGGTCTGACAGTAAGCCTGTCTTGGTTAGTGTCATCTGCAGAATTCTGGCCATAGGTCTTTCATCCTGAAGACCAATTCTATCCTTTAGACCTTTCTACAACCAAGTGGAAGAATACAAGCTCGCACTGGCCCATGTGCCAATAGAAGGGAAATGTTCTTTGAAGAAGCCTTGTGTTTGTTTGATTTTTGGAAATTTTATGTCACACTCCGTCACTGATTTATATTTATTTTTATGTGAGTGACTTACACTACCAATCTCTTGGCTTCTAATGTGAAAACATTTATAAGTTTCATAATAGAAATTCTTTTTAGGAAAATCAGATACATTATAAGACATATTCCATTTTCAGAAATGTTTAAATGGGAGAAAAGTCTGTATATAATAATAATAATAGTAATAATAGTAATAATAACAACAACAACAACATTCCATGGAGACGTCTTGTGTTTCTAGTGGGCCCAGAACTGTCTTCTGGCACACATCTGTGAGCATGCTGAGGATGGCGAGTCCTCAGTAGATGGTGGACAGTGGTAGGTGTTATGGGGGTCAGTGGTGAGATGGGTAGGGTGCCTGAGGGGTTCTTCAGCCCTCCTTATGCGTTTTGGTTCCCCTCATTTCCATACCAGTAGGAAATTTCCACCCTCTACTTGCCATTAATTGCCTTTGGTCCCAGATAGCCTCTGTTGTAGGACAGCTATGGTTAGCAACAGTCCTGGCTGGTAACCACTGTAGCATCTCTTCCTTTAGATGGGACAACCCATACCTCCATTAGTTACAAAACTGCGCCTTGATTAGAATCAGTGTCAGGGTGGAAGATAGACTTCTGGAAAGGTGTCTGATAAAACCCTCTTGGACTTAGGCTCTGCTCTTCATTCTAGAGGATCTCTTTTTCCAGGATGTCGCCCACAAAACACTTTTATTATTATTGTTATTATTATTATTATTATATAACATATTCTGTTATCTAATAATGGGTTTGTATCTTGGCCCTCTATTTGATGCTTGCTGAAGATTACTGAAAGAAACATCTAGTCTTTCAAGGTGGGAATCAAACACTTGTTTTATAACTCAGTGTGACAATGAGGGAGATCTAAGTTTATCCTCATAGGGAGTGCAGTCTAGCAGGGACGATAGGAGTCAGATAAATAGAGGATTAGACCTGTGCAGGTGAGTTGGGGAGTCTTCTGAGAGAAGGTAGTGCTGCACTTCGGTGAGAAGGATGAACAGGAGCCTGCCAGGAGAAGGGCGGGTGTGGTGCCTTGCTTGCCAGCATTTGTACGGATGTCTCTAGTAGTGGTAGCTGAATCAAGATGACAGGAAAGAAGAAAGTCAAGGAGGGAAGCCTCACCTGCACATGTCAGAGGTTCTTCAACAGCTGCACTTACTGTATGCTTTACTCTGGTGCATGTAAGCTACACTTGAAATTGAATATGTCTTTGAGTAATAGAGAGTCACCATAGTAAATGGTTATAGTGTGTAAATCTATATCCATCAACGTTTCAGAAGTGTTAAATGTTAAATAAACAAAAGACAGAACTCTAAGTTACTGTACACCGTGAGCCCTGGTTGTAAACGTCTTCTCTGCCTGGTTTTCCTAGCCCTTTAACTTTTTTCCATAGGGCATGTGCAACTTTCTATCTTGCCTATTAAATGCACCCTTAGCATACTCCCAAAGGCGCTTTATCTTGTAAATTCACTCAATATTATTTGCATACTACACAACTTTTAGCTTAAAATTTTCTTGGGACCAGGGCTAAGTAGGTTGCTGGGAGAACACAAGTTTATGTTGTTATCAAAATCCTGTGGCATGGAATGTCCTTCAAATAGACTCCACAATCTCAGGAGAAACTGAAATCCCACCAGGGACATTAAGAACACCCTGGCCTCTCCAGGAAGTGGAGGATGAATGGAAATATCTCACGACCTCTCTGGAGATGGCAGTGTGTAGACTGTGGAGTGCCAGCTTCCCAGCCAGGGTCTCTAGAACAGATTCTGCCTCTTCCTAGGTACCTGATCATGAGTATCTCACTTAATTATCTGAGCCTCCACAGCCTCCTCAGTGAAGCAGCACTATGATAGGAACTGCTTTATTGAGCTATTGGAAGGTAATGACAGACTTACATTAAGTATTAGCTATCATTGATAGGTTGTTGATATTCAGCTCTCAGATGGACCTGGGTCAGCAGATTGTTGTTGATTGGATTAGGCCACGGGGGAGGCCAGATACACACAAAAAGGATATAAAATGTTAGCTGGATGAGAAAAAGGGGCTTGCAAGCCCCTACCCCTAGAAGAAGAGCTATTGATGGTTGATGACTTCTAGGGGAGAGAAAGTTTTACTGACGGTAAGGTCGATCACACCCCAGTGGATGGCCCCACATCCATCAGCATATAGGCAGTACAAATTGGACTTGGTGGCTTATTTTTGAAAAAAGACATGAAATTTGGTATGGGGGAGTGAAGTGGACAGATCTGGGAGGAGTTAGGGAATGAGTAGGAGGGTGAATATAATTAAAATACACACACGTATGGAAATGTAAAAGAATTAATTAAATATCATTGAAATTATTCTTTGAATTCTAAAAATAAAACAAAACTCAAAGCCTATTAACAGGTTTGTGTATGTTCTCAGAAGGATGGCAGGTTTAAGATTACTGTGGCTGAAATAACAGAATCTTCAATTCCTTATATAACATTCTCTGGCTGAGAGTTGAGGGGGCTTTAGTGGCTGGTAGTTCCAGATTCACGAGAAATTCCAAGTATTCTCTAATCAGGTCTGATTGGTTATCCAGGTCTACTGGAGTCAGTCATCAAAGGACTTGCTGCCTAAGCCAAGCATTTTGAGTTGTGCAATCTTATCACAGTGCACATCTCTGCCAAGATGCCCAGGTGTTTCAGGCACAGGCCTAGCTCCAATCAGAAGCCAGGACCGAGCACAGGACAGCCTGGGACTGCAACCTAGGTCTGCAGTGTATTAGTCATGACCTCGAACAAGTTTCACAACCCCAGCCTCTCTATCTTTCCAATTAATCTGGAGTAAATGTTTGCATCTTTGGGGTAACTGTAAGGATT